TTACTAGTTCATGAGAAGATTTATCCTACTATTATTCCCAAAGCTGCTTAGGAGTCTCTAACAAGTAACTTTGTGAAATACTTTCTAGAAATCTTTGATCATTCTTATATTACATTTCTTACTAGTGGGTTAGAATTACATCTGCAGAAATTATACTACTTCCTCTAGCATAGTTATGTTGGAAATAAATGCTGGGGACAAACTGAGGTTTATAGTAGTAATGGAACATATTATCCTAAATAGTCACACTGCTTTTGAGCTTTTTGTGTTTCTCTGCATTTTGAGTTTATGAAGATAATTGCAGGTTGATTTCAAATTCCTTTTTAGGATATAGGGATTGGAAACACAGTAAACAGAAAAGTGCATTATTCTGAATAATGTCACATCCTTATCGTTCCTTTTGGAAAAAATGGAAGCAATGATCAAGCAGACATGTGAAACACATAATAAGGAATGTTGTATTGAGCATATGTGCTGTATTTAAATTCAGTATTTTAGCATTCAGCACAGTTCTGTTCATTACAATCAAGAGAAAGAAAATAAATGAGTGACTGAATGTACAGAATGCACACTCTGTTATTGAACTGTGAAGGCCCCCTTAGATAAATTTATGGGAAGAACATGATAGAGGTTTATATAACATAGTAAATGGCAGAATAAATAAGACCCAAGAATTGTCTTTGTTTCCTTCTTGTAATCCCAGTTGAACTTCCAGCAAATAGATCAGATCATCTTTTACTCAGTGGCATAATTTGTTAGAATGTTATGATGTGTGATGGATATTCTGAGTGCTTAAAATTGGACAGTGTCAGAGAAAAAGACAGCAGAATGAGCATCCAATGTAACTCTAAATGAAATATAATCTCCCCCAACCGGATGCTCTTCCAATACGTTAGATTAAATATCTCAAAATTCACTGCTAGCAATCTCTGGCTGGGAATTGCAAGTTTCTGACCATCCCATCCTATCAATTCAAGAATTCTGATAAACTATTTGAGAGGCGGGGTACTTCTGAATGCTAACTGGTGCGAAGGAAGAAAACAGAAAAGGACAGCTGTTGCCATTAAGTCCTCTATCCCTCGCAGGAGAAAAAGGGAAGCGGTTATTAACGAGATTAATAATAACTCTTTAGTTTCATGGAACGGGGAATTTGCAAGGAGTGTATGTGTGTTGTATATCCCACACACTGTCTCACACACACATACACACACACCTCCCTTGATCACCGTTTGCATGTCCGAGGATGTCTATCAAGCTCAGGCGCTCTCTGCCTTTCACAGCAGTACCGCCGCCTGCCTCTTATTCATGCAGTGGAGCAGGCGGGGTTGAAAAACAGGCCGGTGAAACGAAGTATCCCGAGGCAGGCGGGGGTCTAGGAGACTGCCTTGGTCCAATGGCGCTTCAGCACTCGGCGCAAACGGCCAATGATGAGCCAAGAGGGCGGAGCTCACAAAGCGGTGGGAAGGCTGCAGGAGTTTAGAGCTGGCAGTGCTTATCTAGCTTGGCTCGTTGTGAGCCAAGCTGGAGACGAGCGCGGCTCGCTTGGCTGGTTCGCTGTCCGTGGTACTGAAAGCGCGCTCACAGTTCAACTCCTGTCCTATCAGGGCCGCTGAACCGCGGCTCGAAGGCGTTGAGAGACCCTCCATGGAAGAGATGGAAGAGGAGCTCAAGTGCCCGGTTTGCGGCTCCTTCTACCGAGAACCTCTAATCCTACCCTGTTCACACAATCTGTGTCAGGCATGTGCCCGAAACATCCTGGTGCAGACGCCAGAGACGGAGTCGCCTCAGAGCCGGCGTGCCTCAGGGTCAGTTGGCTCCTCATCTGACTATGACTACCTGGACCTGGACAAGATGAGCCTGTACAGTGAGGCGGACAGCGGCTATGGCTCATATGGTGGCTTTGCCAGTGCACCTACTACACCATGTCAGAAGTCACCCAATGGTGTGCGTGTCTTCCCTCCAACTGTCCCTCCAGCTGCACATCTCCCACCGGTTTCAGCCACTGCCTCATTGGCACCGGTGCCACGCAATTCCTGCCTCACCTGCCCACAGTGCCATCGCAGCCTGATTCTGGATGAGCGGGGCCTTCGTGGTTTCCCCAAGAATCGTGTTTTGGAGGGTGTCATTGACCGTTACCAGCAAAGCAAAGCAGCTGCTCTGCGCTGTCAACTGTGTGAGAAGGTACCCAAGGAGGCCACGGTCATGTGTGAACAGTGCGACGTCTTCTATTGTGACCCATGCCGGCTGCGCTGCCATCCGCCACGGGGCCCCCTGGCTAAGCACCGTTTGGTCCCTCCAGCTCAGGGCCGGGTCAGCCGGAGGCTCAGCCCACGCAAGATCTCCACCTGCACTGACCATGAGCTAGAGAATCACAGCATGTACTGTGTGCAGTGCAAGATGCCTGTTTGTTACCAGTGTCTGGAGGAAGGCAAGCATTCCAGTCATGAGGTGAAGGCATTGGGTGCCATGTGGAAACTACATAAGGTCAGTCCTGGGATGGGGGCACCGACTAATGAACAGAGCAAGTATGGTAGAATACCTTGGCAAGAGATGAAAATCCTCATTTCAGCCTTTGCACTGGGTCCTTGTGATCTTTCTCCTAAGTATCCATTGATCTCTCTTCCCTCTTTCTTACAGCTGTCTTTCTTTCTCTTACTTTTTCTCTAAAACAATTTTATTCCAATCCTCCTGTTTTAGTGTGCCTTTTTTTACTTGTCCATAAATGTTTACTGGAGTACTGCTTCCATCATACTCAGCCAATGATGGAGTTGTAGCCCAGCAATGCCTAAAGGCATGCTGTGAAACATAACAACAATTCTGGTCTTCCTTCTCTCAGCTCTTGATTTCTTCACCAATACTACAATCATAATCCTTCATGGCTAAATGACTTGTTCATCAATCCATTAGTCTATCTTTCTTTTCCATCTCTCTCCTCCCTGTTCCATATTTTAAGCATTTATGCAATGTGTAGTTTTTATTCTCATCAAAGAGCTGCTTCCTTACTTTTTCATCATTTCCCCTCCCTTGATTTCCTCCATCTTATTCTTCCTCCTACCTCTAATGAGTCAGTCTCCCTATCTGTAAACAGATTTCACTTCCCAGTCTTTGATTCTCTTTGCTGGAATGCTAGCGGTCTATCCTGCCAACTAATGTATGTGTTCTGAGAATGCATCTAGATTTTGTATTCAAGAAACACCTGAGCTGGTGTATCACATATTTTGCCCGGCCTGCCCATCTTCTTTGTTGGCTGCCATTCAAGTGTTTGCACCAAGATGCCTGCAGTAGCAAGCAATAGGATACTGGGGGGCTTGGTGGGGTGAGTTTTACACTGACGGTGAATGCAGCTGGGGGAGGAAGAAGGGAAAAAGCAGGGATGAGATTGCTGTATTTTTCCAGTATCCTATGCTCATAGGATAGGATTAACTGGCCTTCCATTTCCTTTTAAATGTCCCTTTGTCCTCATTTAGGCAATGTTATCATGGACTTCACTACAGAATCTTTGTATAGCTTGAGGTTGCCAGGCAGATTGTAATCCCTAAAATGGGAAGAGCAGGGCTTCTACAATCACCTAACTCTCTTTGTGCTAATATAATGGTAATGAGGACAGAGTTTATATTGCTTCAGTGATGGCTGGATGATGCTAGAAAATGTTATAAGTCACTAGTGAAAAAAATGGTCTGAATATAGAAAATGGCTCTTTCTATTTCCAAGTACGCAATGATGTGTGTTGTTTATAAATGGAGAGAAGGTATTTTGGACAAAATTAAAGGAAGATTTTTCACCAGTATTAACTCTGAGCATTGAGCACTAAATAGATCCCAGGGTTTAGTCTGCCTCAGATTAATCTCTTAGTTGGCTAGCTGATGGGAAAGGGCCCTTGGAGAAAGGGGCACACAACTAAAATGAAACCTGTTGGGGGAGACTTTAAAGATAGCAGAATGTGTGAATGTGATGTAAAAGAAAGAGGCAGAAAGAAGTTGTATGAGAATAGATTTCTTCTTTGAATATGAATTGCTTCCTCTGCCACAAGGAAGGTGTGTTTGCCTATTTCAGTTTCTCCATTTTTAATTTTTCCATGTACCATGTGTGAAATCTGATGTGTTGAATTTAAAAATTTCTCATCTTCCAAAAGGACATTTACACACATACAAAAACTACTTTGGGTGCACAGTACTACTGACATATGCTTATTGTCCTAATGAATCTACCTTTTACAAATAACTTCACTAATAGAAATTTGTACATAATTCTCACAAATATATGGGGTTTTGTGTTGATTTCCCCTTTTATCATGGTGTAATTGGAGAATTTTGAATGATAACTAAATTTCAGGCTGTGTGTTGCTTTGAAATTATGGAATTAGATATGTTTGCATCTGATTTCTCCCTATCATTACTCTGCTACTTGGTAATGCATTTTCTTCACAAACTACATATTCATGACGTATTAGAAACAGGTCCAATATGTGCAAAGCTGAAGTAGGGATATTCAGTTCATAGGGTAGCAACACATTAGCTTTTATAATGTGTTATGGATAACAATACAGTACAAGGGGTCCCAAAAGACAGTGCAGTTTTAAGCTTTAAAATCTGCACTAAGACTTTTGGTACACTGTATAATTCTTATGACTATACCAGGTAGAATTGTAGCTAAAGGATTCTATACCACATATTGTAATCCATATTTTATTTTTTCTCAATGCCTCTACACTGAGCTTTTGTAAAGTGTATTTTTGTTTGTATGTTTGAATTGAGCTATACCACAAAACATAAGTGAAGAGAGTGAAAAGGATGTAATTTTATCTCCCATTTAAATATCAATATCTCCTTTCCACACTCTTGCCACCCATCCTATTTTTCACATAGGATCTGGCTATATGGCAGCAACCCCATTTCTGAGGTAACTAGGCAGAGATATGTGACTACAAAGAGGATGGATATCCTCTCATCCTGCATATACCTATGGAACATGCAGGCATTTTTACCTACCCCTGTGTCCAGGTACAGAGATAGGATCAGTATTTGCAGTATTACATAGGTAGGATCTGATGCAGGAGGTGACTGTCCAGTAGCCTCTGCTAAAATAGACAATACAACAAACCACGAACACTTCATGGAAGCTAACCCAGATGAAAACCAAGTAGACTTCAATTGTATCACTGAAGCCAAACCACCATCTTAACTTATTCATCACACTTTGAAGACACCCCTGAAGATACCATAATTTGTTTAAGTACCCTTTGGTATAGCCAAAGTTGACTGGATTGAAACCATGAATTAACTTGTCAGACACCTGCCAAAGTCTCCCCTGCTAACTTTTGGTCTCCTAGTCTGGCTGCTGGTTCTCATTTTTACTCTTTATGCAAGCAGAGTCAAGCAGAGTCCTCCAGTGGTCTTGTACTGTTTCTGAGCAATTATTTTAGACCAGTGTTATTCAGCCTCAATAACTTTAAGATGTGTAGACTTCAACTCCCAGAATTCCCTAGCCATTGATGCTGGCTGGGGATTTCTGGGAGTTGAAGTCTACAGATTTTAAAGTTGCTGGGGTGGAGAAATATTGTTTTAAATTAAGGCTGAAAGGAGAGGGTAAATAAGTGGGTAGAAATGAAGAGGAAAAGAAAGAAAAAAACATGTGGAGAAGCCTGAGAGCATCTCACTAGGGCCCCATAAAATTGAAAATTGCTAATGGAGAAGAAAAATGAACTTTTCAACTACTTTTTTTTTACTTCCAATTGGTTCTGCCATTAGGATATAATGTAAAAAGCCCTTTGTGGCCCTTTGTGGCCTCTGGCCAATAATCTTTTCCTGTCACAACAGCAGCCTAAGACTGACCTTTGTAGATAGATTGACATCATTTCATGTCAGGGGCCTGCTAACATGCTTTAACCATGGGAAATAGCTTCACAGCCAGCACAGGAACAAAGCTCTGTTTGTCTTGGAGAAGGACAATGTTTACTGTTCAGGCAAGCAGAAGGAAAGAATTCCTCATAATTTATATCTGTCAACTGCTTACACAAGTGACAATAGTTTAAACTATACCTGGAGCCTCAGTGCAATTTCAATAACCTTTTATTTTATTCATGTACTAATTTTATTTCATATTTCTAAGCCCAAAGGCTTCTGGGCAGAAAACAATAGAATAAAAAAGAACAATTTTTTAACAGATATCACCTAATCCCATAGACTTCTCATTCCTATTAAAAATCATTGTAGTGCCCCAATCAATTGGACTTCCAGCACAATTAAATAAGTTTTAGCCTGCTTATGAAAATGTGCGGGCTACTATGACAAGATCTGCCATTCGGTTACCCCCATATAACCTGGAGCAGACTTTCAACAGACTCTCTTGTGATGACTAAACTGAGCCTATAGACTCTATTCTGGCAAGGTGCTGCTTGCTATATCTTCGTGCTCTGCTATGTAAGGCTTTAAAGATAATGTCTAGACCAGGGGTCTTCAAACTTGGCCCTTTTATGACTTGTGGACTTCAACTCCCAGAATTCCTCAGCCAGTGTGCCTTGCTGAGGAATTCTGGGAGTTGAAGTCCACAAGTCATAAAAGGGCCAGGTTTGAAGACCCCTGGTCTAGAACTTCAAACTGGGTTCAAAGTCTACTGCTAACCAGTGTTATGAATTTAAAATAGATGTTATTCTGCACTGGTGAGATTGTCTTACCAGGATTCTGGTTACTGTGCTTTGCCCCAGCTATAGTTCTGGGTTATCTACAAAGGGAGCCCCACATAGATTGTATTGCAGTAGTCCAGCAAGTGATGATAAAGGCATGAATTATGGCAGGGGTCTTCAAACCTGGCCCTTTTTGCCTTGTGGACTTCAACTCCCAGAATTCCTGAGCCAGCACAGGAAGTCCACAAGTCATAAAAGGGCCAAGTTTGAAGACCCCTGAATTATGGATACCAAAGTATCCTGCTACAGGTATGGCTATAATTGTTACACCAACCACCTAAGTGAAGCACCCCCTCCCCAAAATGTCACTTACTTGAGCTCAAGATTAATTATTCCTTCCTTTTTTTATTCCCATAGCTTAATTTCAAGTGCTTTTAAAGTCAGCTAATAAATATTAGTCACAAAAGAAATGAAGCTGCACTTTAACATACATATATACATTGGTCCATAATTCAGACTGGTGTCAATAGTAATAGGTGGCAACATCTATTCTTTAGGTGGCTGATCCTAGAAAACAAATAGTAGATTTAAATGTGGAAATCCCGAGGCTGTAGGCAAGGAGGTTTCAAAGAAAACATATAGTATAGGGGGTACCTTGCTCAATAGTATTAATGTGAGAGGGACCTCAGAGTCCTAGTGGACAATCACTTAAATATGAGCCAGTAGTGTACTGCAGCTGCCAAAAAGGCCAACACAGTGCTGGACTGCATTAACAGAGGGATAGAATCAAGATCACATGAAGTTTTAATACCACTTTACAATGCCTTGGTAAGGCCATACTTGGAACACTGCATCTAGTTTT